CAACAAACAACTAAATCTAAAAAGAACAAAAACAAGTACATAAATGAACTAAGCAAACAGCTAGAACAGGAACAGAACCACAGAAATGGAGATCATATTGAGGGTTAACAGTGGGGTGGGGAAGGAGAGAGAAGGGGGGAAAGGTACAGGGAATAAGAAGCATAAATGATAGGTACTAAAACAGACGGTGAAGTTAAGAACAGTATGGGAAATGGAGAAGCCAAAGAACTTATATATGTGACCCATGGACATGAACTAAGGTGGGGGAATGATTGTGGGAGGGGGATACAGGGCAGAGGGGAATGAAGGGTTGAAAAAAATGGACAACTCTAATAGCATAATCAATAAAATATATTTTAAAACTTTTATGTATTGGATGGAAATTAATGAAGCTGTACATTTAGTTAAAAATTACGTGTTTTTTGGGGGGGGTTAACAGTATTATCTTACAAAATATATAATGGGAATTTCCTTTGACCCAACGATATCAGTTCCTAAATTTTCCCTTTTGTTGTAAATACAGGCAAAAGGGTTTGTCTCCCATTTTTTAGTCACCATTGTTAATGTTGTTAATATTGACAAATTGTAGAAATAATCTAATCTCATATATTTCTCATGTAGATGAGAAATATGCATTTAGTAAAATTCTTGTAAATCAATCTCATTTATGAAAATTAAAAAAATCATTGATTAATAATTTCCAAATGCCAAACTGAATCTAGCAGCACATAAAAATAGAAAAAAATACATTATGACCTAGTGAGGCTTTGCTCAGGAATTCAAGGATAATTTAATTTTAAGTAATCCACAAACATCTATGAAAATAAACATGCAATCATCTCTTAGTCTCCAGAAATTCAGTTGATGCAATTAAGCAAACATATCTGATACAAAATATTCACTAGCAATTGATGGACACTTCCTTAATATGATACCATCTGTACAGTTCTTAGTTTACTTAGTATTGGAATAATAGCCTCTTTCCCTACTAAACCCAGGAAGGAGGCAACGATGTGCATTACCTCTATTTTGTTTGATATTGTGTTGGGCTTATTGACCAATATAATCAGAGAGATAAAATAATTAGAGGTGCAAAAGTTATAAAAGAAGAGGTAAAAAACTATCTCTGCCATTGGGTGCAGTATATTTGGAAAACAAAAAGGAGTTAGAAAATAAAACATTCAAACAACAATATATTCAGTAAGGTAGCAGTATATAAAATTAATGTGACATATATTAATTAGTATTCTTAACATATAAATTAGTTATTCTTAACATATAAAAGCAATAATCTGCTATAAACTATAGTGGAAAAGAAGATTTTATTTAAAACAGTATCAGCACCAACAAAAGCCAAACAATTTAGGAATACATTTAAAGAAGATGTACAAAATCTATACAGAAAAAAAATTAAACACTCCTGAAATATACAAAGAGACACAAACCAGTATTTGAAAAAAATTGAAAGTTTTTTGGGGTGGTAGGATGACTCAATGTCATAAAGATATCCATACTTTCTATATTAATATATAAATTAAACTCAATTGCCCTTCCCCCAAATGCAAAAACAGTTAGGTTTTTGGGAGGTAAGTAAGTGGTAAGGCCCTCTTGGAACTGTATTTACAGTGGTGTCTGGTCAGCAAGGAGGAATTTGCATGCTGTTGCTGAACCAGGGCTGGCCTGCCTGCCTTTCCCTCCACATCCATTCCAGCACCTCACCTTGCTTAACTGTACCCCAGGGGCATAGTTTGTGACAGCTTACTTTATTTCAGAGCCAAGCTTTGATCTCACCTCCCAGAATCCAGTTTCTGTTGAAGTTGGTCAGTTCTTTGGGTCTATAGTTATTACCCACACAGGATCCCAAGCTAATGACTCATTTCAACTCTGGCTGACCTCTGCATTTTGACCTTGTGGCTCTGTTGGGTTCCAGGCCCTGTAACCTATTGGCAATGGAGAACCTGAAACTTAATTGTGCGTGTGTTCACATAAATGTACAAGCCACTACAGCATCATGAAGCTTTTTCAAAACTGTGCAGAGCAGTACTCATATTTATATGCACATGTATTTTGTAAAACAAATTTTACAGTTCTATTTTGTTTCTAATTAAGTTAAATTTTTTCTGTCTTACCTAAGATACTCTTGACATAGCTCAATATCAGACTATGCACTCATTAAAATATTTTTTATTTTGAAAATAGAAAAGAACAGAGAACAGTATAACAAACACCTGTGTTCAGACCACCCAGAATTAACCAATGTTAACATCTTGTAATGATTGTTTCAAGTCTAGAATTCTCATTTTAAAATTAAATTGTACTTTTTGGTATAGGCAAAGCTGGCCTCAGGGAAACAGTGAAGTTGGCCATTCCACTCCTGCTGTCACCTTCCCTTCCCTGTAGGGTGACTACCCCGGCGTTGGTGGCCCTTGGTTCTGCAGTAGGTTGTGCTGTGCCTCTCCCAGAACAGCTGTGCTGACAGCTGGGACCCAGGACTCTAGATGGAACAGTGGAATCCTCAACTATATTAGAAATGATTCCTGCTTATGAGTCACACAAAAAGTTCCAACTAGAAAAAGGAAAGTTTATTAGAACAAAGGAAACATACAACTTCTTTGCAAGGGTATCTCTAGGCACTGGGCCTCAGAAAAGAAATGCATCTATGAACTGAACAGCTGTGGAATCCAAGCTTGCTCGTGCTTCTCTCTGCTTCAGTCTTTGTTCTTATTCAGTTCACATGTTGGAAAATAGCCTCCCATGACTTCTGTGTTTACATATGACATATCCAGTCACATGAGACGGACTGGCGAAACTTCTGTTAACATTCCACATGTCTGAGGGAGCGAAACTGATTGTCCTGTTTAGGTCAGGTGTCCATCTCTTGTTGAGTAAGCTCTGCTGAGTTTGACCAAGTCATGTATGCAAACTTGGCTGCCAGGCCCTCACTTCTGTGATCTTGGATTTAGGGGCTGCAGACTATTCTCAAGAAGGAACCTCCTCTCCTGAACATGACTGTACAGCTTCCAAGGGACAATCATGGCAGTTTGAGAAGCACTTGACTGGAGTGTCAGCAAAAGCTAGGAATGACTCTCTTGGTTAAACACCTTAAATTTAGAAAGCACAAGACAATGACACTAATGATGAAGAGAAGAATAGCAAAGGCCACCCCTGAGGGCAAAACATACAGGCATTTTGTGGGGGCCTGCTGCCATTAAAAGGACCATGGAACAGGATTTGTGTAGGCACAAAAATTCCCATGTTTATGAATGGATTATGCTCTGAAGTTGATGCTGTTTTTGTATTCCTTCCATGAATGCTTAAACCCTGAAGTGCCAGGGGCCTAACAAGAATACAGTGACATGAGAAAACAGTGATGACCCAACCCCAACTCCTCCAAAGGGCTTATAGTTTGGTGTGAACCCTGGGTGTGTATTATAAGAGGCTGACTCCATTTTTGAGCAATGTGGCATGAAATGAACACTACCTTTTCTGTCTACATACACTCTCACTTCTAAAGGAGTGATTGAGTTTTACCCTTACAAACCACTTCAAATATCTTCTGTAATAAGCAGGATAGATATATTTAAATATATAAAATGAGGTCACATATATATTTCTATACCAGCTCCTACGAAACAGAAGCCCTAATGCTATTTTCATCATATAGACAGTGATCATTTATAATACTTTTTCTTGAAGAAACTAATTTTTGTGCTCAGACTTGGGATGGTGAGCAGGTACCCTCCATGAAGGCTGTGAAGTGGAGTTACTTGCTCGTGAAAAGCCTCTTCTCTAGGCTCTGCCACCCCCAGATGCTGCAAATTTCACTTTCTGAGGTCAGAGCTGCATCCTCACTCGGCTCAATCAGAAGCATGGCCCGCGTTCTGGACTGACGGTCAAACACATAGAAGCTCCATTGGCATATGATTTCCTTCATGTGGAATTTGAAAAACAAAATAACTAAACAAGGAGAATAGAAACAGACTCATAGATACAGGGAACATTTTGATGGTTGCCAGATGGGAGTGGGGTTGGAGGATGGGTGAAAAAGTACAAATTGGTAGTTATAGAATAGTCATGATGATGTAAAATACAGCATAGAGAATATAGTCAATAATATATGTGTGGCATCAGATGGGTGTGAGATTTATCGGGATGATCACTTAGTAAGTTGTATAATATCTAATCACTAGGTTGTATACCTGAAACTAATATAATATTGTATGTCAACTATAATTTAAAAATAAAAAATATTTAAAGTAAAAAAAAGAAACTCAGTGGGCTTCACTCAGGATCGCTGAGATTTAAAAATGACACGATATGGTTGACAGCACAGTATGTAAATGATCGCAGGTGGTCTGCTGACTCCTGGCACAGCCTGGGAATAGGGAGTGCACAGGGCCGTGAGAAAGGAGGCAGAGAGTGTGCAGACAGTCTGCATGGGAAGCCATTCATTTTGGGGCCCCCTCAGCTTTTGTTCTTGCTTATCTAAGTTTCTTCCCAGTATTGTGAAGTGTGTCCCTTCTCATTGCTGCTGTGTCTCCTCACCAAAGCCTTTTCTTTACTCACGACTGACAGTCTAGACAATGAGGCTGAGGTGCCTGGACCATCAGTGTGTTCTTGTCATTATACATTCAGTAAATGTAATTCCTTGACTTAGTGCTATAAGGAGAACTCAACCAAGCCAATGATCAAATCCTCCTGTATCTGTGTTTAAAGAGGCCACAAATGTCTGTTAATCCAGGGTCAGGTCTTCCTCATGTTTGTATCCTAAGCACAGAGTGTGTGGCATATGGTGCTTGATGAGTAATTGCCCAGTGAATATTCAGTTATGGGCTCTGTACTCATATGTACTGTGTTTACCTACAAGCAAATGATTGCCTACAAGCTATTTTCTATTGTAAGAATAATTTATATCAAAGGCTTTTGGCCTCTGTGCTGATAAAGTCCATGATAATTATCATGTAAATTCCTGAACTATTCTCTTTTACTCTGTCTTTCAGATTATTTGAATATATTTTGCTCTATAAAGAAGGAGTGATGTTTCAGATTGAACAAGCCACCAAGCAGTGCTCCAAGATCACACTGACAGACCCATGGGATCCTCTTGACATTCCTCAGAACTCCACCTTTGAGGACCAGTACTCCATAGGGGGACCCCAGGAGCAGATCACTGTCCAGGAGTGGTCTGACAGAAAGTCAGCTAGATCATGTAAGTGTTCAAAAAATATGAGATGGTTGCATCTCTGAAAGCATCATGGGAAAAAATATTTAAGCCTATTAAAGAAGATAGTTGTTAGGGAAATTTATAAGCATGATTGAATTGTTTAATCCCCATTGACGTCCCCACAGATACTCTACTAGTTGTATAGAACTGGGAACTAAGCATCCTATTTGAAATACCTCAGCCTTCTAGCACCACCTGTACCTTTTTGCCACATTAGCTCTTATGGACTTGGCCTTGACTCTGATATTTAATGGTCTCCCTCACCCCACTTCCCCGGACCAGTGACATGGAAGGTGTTTATCTAAGGCACACATTAGAATTGAATGCCTCCTTTTCCTTCCTATATGCTCACTTCCTAATGTTATAGTGACGAGATTTACTGCCATTATTTTTAGTTTCTGCTTTTATACATAGATGTGAAGCTCCTCTCTGTTCTGTTGCCAATACCGTACCCCAAGACTGTGTCAAAAACGCAGGCCTTTATGCTGTGGAAAATCATATGGCAGCTTGCAAAAAACAAAAAAGCATAGAATTACCATATGACCCAGTAATCCTACTTCTGATCGTATACCCACAAGAATTAAAAGCAAGGACTCAGATATTTGAACATTTATGTTTATAGCAGAATTATTTATAATCACCAGAAGGTGGAAACAACCCAGGTGTCCATCAGCAGATGAATAGATAAATAAAATGTGATATATTCATATAATGGAAGATTAGCCTCAAGTAGAAGGAAATTCTGACACAGGCTACAACATGGATGAACCTTGAGGGCATTATACTAAGTGAAATAAGCCAGTCACTAAAGGACAAACACTGTATAATTCCAGTGATATCAAGTACCAAGTAATCACATTCATTGAGACAGAAAGAAAATGGTAGTTGCCAGGGGCTAGGAGGAGCAGGAATGGGGAGTTAGCATTTAATGGGCACAAAATTTCAATTGGGGAAGATGAAAAATTTTTGGAAAGGGTGGTGGTGATGGTAACACAGCAATGTGAATGTACTTAGTGCCACTGAACTATACTTAAAAATGGTTAAAATGGTAGAGTTTATGTATAATTTACCAAAATTAAAAATACAGGCATTTTGCCTGTTTTTTATATTAAAGAGTCAACTTTTCTTCCTCTTATAGATGAAACCTGGATTGGCATTTACACAGTCAAGGATTGTTATCCTGTCCAGGAAACCTTCACCAAAAATTACAGTGTGGTACTGTCCACACGCTTTTTCGACATACAGCTGGGCATTGCAGACCCCAAGGTATTTATTCCCCCAAGCACATGTCAGACAGCCCAGCTGGAGAGGATGAGCGAGGACTGCTCCTGACAAGCCTGAGAATGCAGGAATGACAGCATCGGACATCAGACACTGGTGGCCTTAGTTCAAACAGATTTGAGACTTGAGAGATGAGAATCATCTTTGGAGATATACAGTGATTTTTTTTGTATATGATGTTAACTACTCAACCTATGTTTACAAGAGAGAATAGGATGGAGATGCTGTGGTAATGTAAACTGGAGAGATGAATACAGGGACTTGGGTAGCCTATCTGGGTGTGCTGCTTTCTACACGCGCAGTGTATAGGAAGTGCAACGTCCTACGCAGGGGTGAGAGTGAGAGCAGTTTGCCTTGACAGAGAAGAATGTTTTATTACTGACATTGTTGAGAACCTTCAGATTCCTGGCACATGGTGATAATAAAAAGCAGAACAGTTCTGGTTAGTTTTACCATTAATTTTTAAGTTCTTTGCAGATAATGACCCCCTTATTGTCTCCATCAGGGAGTTGGCTGGTCTCCCTGGGCCCACCCCATGCTCCCTAGGCTACTGAAAGAGCCTTAAAATCTCAGCAACCTTAAGAATTAATGGCATGAGCCAACTGATATAAACATTTTGGGAGGAAATGAAATGCTATAACACAAAGTAATTACTCCTGTAAAGGGACATTTTAGACAAGAGAATTTGAAAATCTTGATGCCTGTCACTGGGTAAGCATGAGTCATGTCTTTTTCCTTTTTTCCATGCAAGTGTATCTGTACTTGTGCTGAATCATCACATAACTTGTCAGCAGACCTACAGAGACAGGTAGTGTTCTAAAAATAGAATTGAACTGGGAGCAGGATGACTGTTGTCTCCAAAATCCAGGACTAACATTTCCCTGTACAGTAATGCCTTTGGCTAACTAAATGCCCATGCTTTTTCTCACCTTGGCCTTCCTTGGGTACAACCTCTTTGTCTACTTGATTTCTGCTAATCCTTTGTAGATCAGCTCACACGATACCCTCAGAGAACTTCTTCCAAGCCTGGATTGGGTGCACCTTGCAACTTGAGCATGCTGTTTTCACATTACTGATTTAGGCTGCATGTTAATTTCCTGTTTACTGGACACTATCACACACTAGCTTGGCTAGGAGCTCCTTCAGTACAGGAACTGTGCTGTTTACTTTTATATGCCCAGCACCAAGTAAGTGCCTGGCACGTGGTCAGTGCCCTAAAAATTAGTACAGTGGGGAATGCCAGCCTCTCTAGTTCTTAGTTTCCTCACCTATTAATGAGGTTTGGTTTGCTAATCTATATGGAGACTCCCAATAATAAAATTAATTATTCTATAATACTGTATTATTGTATTTCTTCAGCCTATCTATCTATTATCTCTTACCAGGACAACTGTGTGACACCTATGTTATGCTGAAAACAATCTGTAGTACCCACTGTTTATGTTATTTCAATAAACAAACTTAATTGTATTTCAAAGTGTTCCTTGATATATTTGCTTTTGTAATAAATATAAATTATCTTGGTTATAAGGGAGTTAAAACTCTTTAATGAATAAGGTTCTCAATGTGATCTAAACCAAGTTCATTATCTCCTCTTGCTCTTCTGCTTAAATTCCGGTTGCCTGGGTCAGAAGGGTTAGTCATTCTTGACCCATTTTTCTTCTTTAGTTCTCACAATCAGTGTCCCAAGTCCTATCAAAATAGTTCTTAGAGCTGCTGCCTCTTCTCCATCCCCTCAGCCACTGTTTAGGTCCAGGGTATTAGCATCCCTGGATTTGCAAGACCTTAATACCCTCTGTCTTTTCCCTCGTCTTTTCTTCTAGAAGACATCCTCTGCTCATTCAGTCAGACATAAGCCAATACTGACCCTTGTTATCTTTGATGCACATGCTGGTTCTTAGAGTCACAGAGCAGAATGAAGCCCAGATGAAGAATGCACAGATGGCAGACCTTCACAAAGGCCTTCAAGATGGGCAAGTCTGACAGAGCCTTTGACAATGTTTGCCCCACTTCTTATCACTCAACCTGCAGGATGGCTCTGCTGCTCTCCAGAATACACATCTCCCTTAGCTGTGGATCTTTGCTGTGCCTACTCCATCCACACTCCTCAAAGGACAGAGGAAAGGGACTCCTTTTATTTTATTCAGGAACATAGAAAGTGTGTGGCCTTTCATTCTTCAGTTGGCCTGTTTTAGCAGTTAAGCTATTTCATAGAAATGATTATAAAGTCCCTCTTCTAGAAGGATTTTACATCCGGTGGGACCTCTATACACACTTGATGGTGTCCTGTTCCCGTGGTTCTCCGCTGCCTCAATGTAAAGCAGAGTCTCCTTAGTATGATGTCAAGGCCCTTTCCATCAGGTTCCTGACTCCTTTTCCAGCTTCAGTGTTTGGCACTTCCCTCTTTCCCAATTCTCACAGAGCATGAGAAGTGAGGCCTGTGTCACCTGTGGGTGGCAGGAGGGTTTCCTTGGTCACCAATCTTATGTAAAACTCCTAGTGGCCACTATAGTCAGAAATAGAAGAGCTCTTAAGCCCTGGCTGGTGTAGCTCAGTGGATTGAGCATGGGCCTGCAAAGCACAGGGTCCCAGGTTCAACTACCACTCAGGGCATGTGCCTGGGTTGTAGGCCAGGTCCTTAGCTGGGGGCCACATGAGAGGCAACCACACATTGATGTTTATCTCCCTTTCTCTCTCCCTTCCCTTCTCTCTAAAAATAAATAAATAAATAAATTCTTTAGCCCTGGCTGGTGTAGCTCAGTGGATTGAACATGGGCCTGCAAACCAGAGGCAAACCAGAAAGCAAATTTCTGAAATGAAAACTTCAGTTACATGCTAGTTATCAGACATACCCATACTTAAATGACAAAGAATGATTAAAAATAATGGAACATAGCCCTGGCTGGTGTAGCTCAATGGATTGAGCCCAGGCCTGCAAACCACACGATCTCGGTTCGATTCCCAGTCAGGGCACATGCCTGGGTTGCAGGCCAGTTCCCAGCAGGGGACCCATGAGAGGCAACCCATACATTGGTATTCTCTCCTTCCCTTCCCCTCTAGAGATAAATAAATAAAATCTTTAAAAAAAGAACTAGAAGAGCTCTTAAATAGGGCAGAGACGTATCCCATGAATAAAGAGGAGCATCCTGTGTCTCACCTGCAGAAATGGTGTTCCTGACAATGGGCCTGATCTAGGAGTGGGTGCCACTTTGTGGATACCCTGGCCCCTGTGTCTCTGAGCTTCTATGCTACAAAAAATAAAAACAACTTTCTTCCACCTTTCCCAAGGCAAATTGCCAGCATCCATGCAAATGCCAAGGTGTTTACTATCTTCTACCTTCAACTCTGCAGGCCCAGTCCTGGGACAGAGCTGTTCTTTCCTCTCTTACACTGACCCATGTAGAGTCAAAGGGGCCTGGCCTTTCTGCCTCCAGTTGCTCTGTAATCAGGGTGAGTTTCTTAGATGACACTGCTAATTCAGATAATGCTATTTTTCCTAAAATTGTGTTTACACTTTTAAATTATTTAAATATTTTTATAATACTTTATTTTTTAAGATTTTTATTTATTTATCTTTAGAGGGGAAGGGAAGGAGAGAGGGGGAGAAACATCAATGTATGGTTGCCTTTTGTGCATCCCCTGCTGGGAACTAGCCTGCAGGGAACTGGCATGCAACCCCAGTATGTGCCCTGACTGGGAATTGAACCGTGATTGTCTGGTTCACAGGCCCGCGCTCAATCCACTGAGCTACACCAGCCAGTTTTTTTTTTTAAATAAAATTATTTAAATATTTTTAAAAGCAAAAATGTTTAGGTCTCTGAGGAAATTTCCCATGAAGTACACTTAATTTCTTACCAAGCTAAATTCCATAGCATGTGAAAACTCAACACCCACCTCTTGCTGGATTTTCTTTACAAAGTCTACCCTTTCAATGTTCCTGCTGTTATTTTAAATCAATTTGTCTGTGTACTCACCCATAATACATGAGGGTGTTTTTCCATTTTTCTAAGTATATAGCTCTTGTCTTTATCTATGGAAGGCTCCTCAAATGCAGAAATAGTGTCCTTGCCCTTCTTGTTGAGTGAAAATGACTTCAGTTGGAGGAGAGAGTGAGCCATCTCAGCCAGTCTTGTGAATAAATTTATGACATTTAAAGGCCTTATAAATAAACATCTCTTTAAAAGACAATCTTAACTTTGTATATGAATATTCTAGAATCAATAATACTGTCTTTTAAGAACTATGTTAGAATAATAACTGAAATGTATATTTATTTGTCTTAAAGCAGGATTATTAGCTCAGTTACATGTGTAGAAAATTATCGGGCTTGTAACTTGTTATTTATTTTGTTCAGGGAGAGTGATGCTTAATTTTGTGATATCTCAATTTAAAAATTTATATTGCTTTTCATTAGAGCAAAACCTAACATATATTTATAATATCTTTTTCATATTGAAAGGTGGAATATGTAATGTAGCTTCCGCAATTAAGGAGTGGGCTATCATTCTATAAATTAGGAATAATTTGCAGTGGATATGGCATGCACAGTATTTAGGTAACCTGAGTATGTGTGTGTGCTATGCAGCAGTTGCAGCTGTGTCACTCCCAGTGGCATGCTGCATATTTACTTTAGCATATATTTGTTCAAATCCCATAGCTAAGTGCTCCTTTCCCACATCAAAATAATTTTTATGGCAAAATAGGTGCTCTTCTTACCAAAACATGTCTGCTATCATAATTTTCCATTGAGCTCTATAGTTTAAATAAAGAAAATTATTTTAAAAACCACAAATGATCTTATCTTTTGAAATTCTTTTTCAAACCTGAAGTATGTTATTTAGTAACCTCTCAGCCTGGTTGATTAGTTTTATCAGCCTTGAGAAAGGTTGGGAAAACACTAGTATTGGTTTCCCACCAGTTTAAATTACTGGAAAGTTCTCTGTTAACTAAATACAGATATGGAGTAACCTATTTCGTTAACAGTATAGTTTTAGGCTAAGACATATGCAGATTATATACATGTGATATAATAACACACACATATATAAACTTATATATATGCTATATAATATATTGTGTTATACATAAATTGTGTATATTATATAAATATAAATATATAAAATTATACATAAATATATAAGCAGCAAGAGATAAGGAGATAGTTACCTACTAAGGAGTTCCCATCAGACTGTCAGCTGATTTCTCAAAAGAAAATTTATAGGCAAGAAGGGTCTGGAAAGAGGTATTTGAAGTCATGAAAGGCAAAGACCTATATCCAAGATTGCTTTATCCAGCAAAGCTTTCACTTAGAATGGAAGGGCAGATAAACTGCTTCCCAGATAAGGTCAAGTTAATAGAGTTCATCATCACCAAGACCCTATTATATGAAATGTTAAAGGGACTTATCTAAGAAAGAAACATGTACAATAAAATGATAGCAAACTCACAATTATTGACAACCATACCTAAAACAAACAAACTAAGCAAACAACTAGAAGAAGAACAGAACCACAGAAATGGAGATCATGTGGAGGGTTAGCAACAGGGCAGTGGGAGAAGGAGAGAGGGGGCAGAGCTACAGAGAATAAGTAGCATAGATGGTAGATAGAAAATGGACAGGGGGAGGGTAACAATAGTAGGGGAAATATAGAAGCTAAAGAACTTATAAGTATGACACATGGGCATGAACTAAAGAGGGGGAATGTGGGTGGGAGAGGGTGTGCAGGGTGGAGGGGAGTGAAGGGGAAGAATAGAAAAACTGTAATAGCATAATCAATAAAATATATTAAAATATATAATTTAGGGTCTCTTTGTTTTGTTTCATTTCTAGTGGCAGAAATGGCTCCTTTGTTATTGAGTGTTGGTACATCTGTCCTGTCTTATAAACAAGTATATCTTAGCCAAGCCAAGTTCCTCACTAAATTTCATTATAAAATGCAGATTTCTCATACAGGAAATATAAAGTTGTGTAAAGAATAAAGTGAAAACTTGTTGATGAGAAAAAGACTAAGATAAATGTTTCTTTTGAAACACTTCTAATCACCTTATTTGATGAGCATGTGTGATTGGCAGTTGCAATTTAGTTTCTTTTTAGTAGGGCCCCTGGTTTTTGCAGACATTTTTCATTCTAAAGTGACCTTTCCTTAGTAGCTCTCTCCTCCCTAAGGGCTTGGGGATAATAAAGTGAATACTTATATAGGTCTTCTTGCATGATCTTAGGAAATTATAATAAACTATGGTGCCATTAACATAATAAGAATAAGTCAAGTAATGTAGCAAGTCCAAAAAGAGTATGTTTTTAACAAAGTGTTTTGGTGAAATATCCTTTCACTTAACAGCATTCATAATATCCCCTGAAATCAAGAACTCTACATGTGTTCTTATTGCCATAACTCATACTATATAAAAAGCAACCAATAGCACTGCAAAGATTTCAGATAGATTCTAATATGCCTGAGAATTTGATATTA